ATGCACCATGCACCATGCACCATGCACCATGCACCATGCACCATGCACCATGCACCATGCACTATGTACTATGCACTATGCACTATGCGCTATGCACTATGCACTATGCACTCTGCACTATGCACTACAGTGTATGCACTATGCACTATGCACTATGCACTATGACCATGCACCATGCACTTGCATAGTGCATGCATAGTGCATAGACTATGCACTATGCGCTATGCACTATGCACTATGCACTCNTATATATATATATGTATGTGTGTGTGTCTATGAGTGTATATATATATATATGAGTTATCTGTTGCAGTATAAATGGTGTTGATTTACTATAATTTACAATAATGACTTTTATTATACTTGTTAATAGCATACTAACATTTATTCTTATTCTATATTGCTAGGGGCTGTACAGATATCATCTGTTGCATCCTGCTTGTGCTGTATGTGATCGGTTGGGCTGCTATTGGAATCGTGTGTATGTACAGTCTCAGTCAATTACTAAACTATAAACAGATATATGTCTAAAATTCTACATGATGTATTTATAGTTGAATTAGATAGTGGAATTATGAAAGTTAATTAGTTTGCTGTTCTTAATTTTGTTTTCATTTGATGGACCAAAAAATATAGTCAGGCATTGCATATCATCCATTTACTGGTCAAGGTTCTAATAGTAATAAGTACCATTTCTTAGTGAAAAACGAAATACGTGAGTGTTTTAGTAATCGACAACAAGTACGAGACCGGTTCAGTGCATTCGTAAAAACCACCTATCTAAATCAGTAATGAAATTATGTATGAAACTACTTAGATTATTTTTTAACTTGTTCTATTTACAGCTTTTGTTCATGGAAATCCAGAAATTCTACTCTACCCAACTGATTCTCAGGGTCATATCTGCGGTGTTGATGCTCTTAAGTACTGTACCTGGCTAGGTTACATTACCTTGCTATGCTTCATTAGATATATAACATATTAGATCATTGTAAAATTCACCAACGTTCGGTTTATAAAATAAGTTAGCATATATGAAGATTTTACAGTAAGAGATTTATTAGAACAAAGGAAGAGTAACACAATGAAGATGTAAATCACGTCATATTTAGTAAATAAAAATAACATAGATAATACCTTACAGGAGTAAGCCATTCCTCTTCTTCTTCGACCTTACTGTGTGTGCCAAGCTAGGAGTAGGATCTTTGCTAAATGGCTGTCCAACTCCACAGGTGAGTTTATGCCCGTTGTCATAGATAATTTCCAAAAAACAAGTGTTTTACCGAGACTATTGCTTGAGCAAAGCAAGTAGAATTGCAGACCTCAGAGCACCTGTACCTAGGCATCATCGGGACTCTATTCTAAAATAGTTCTCTTGTGCGAAACAAACTAGATATTTAAGACAAATTAGCCCGTTTGAAACATCATTTGTCTATCTGGCACACTGATATTACTTATACACACAAACTATATTCTATTGTGCCTTCGACTCAAAATAAAAGTGGAAAGAAATCATGTCAACTGATAGCAATCTACTACAGTTGCACTCGAACATTTTGCTAAACCATACAGGCTATATGGTTATATTTATATATTATATAACATAAAGATTTAATTGTTGCAACGTTTCTTTTGTTATTTAAATACTATATATTAAAGTGCAACTTCTATTAACTGAGCAACAAACAGCATGGTTTCAAAATGCAAATAATTTATATACTTGAACTGTGTCAATCTCGACAAAATTTTAAATATTTTTGTCAAAATAACTTGGCTCTGATTGCTATGATTGTCTGCAGCAGAAGCACCAGGATGTGGTACTCATGCGCAGGTGCTTCTTACTGACAGTGCTCGTCATCTTTCTCTTTTACCTATGGTCTGTCAGATATGTGTGGAAGAGTGTCCGCAAAAGAACTTTCTCTACCTCAACATTCCACTGTCAAACTCGGTTACAAGCCGCTCAGAACTTATATGTAAATACAGCGTGGACCCCATGAACGTGAGCAGGGTGAGTGATTTACGTTGATCATCGTAATGGATCGACAATGAATTCCCAACTGTTAAACTGCCATGCTGTACAACCATGCTGTATGCCACAATGCATAGTGGGCAGAGTGGTATTTTTGCTTTTATTTGTGAAGCCATTAGCTCATCCTGGTAACAGTTCGTAATGCTACCATTTGTGATTCACTTGACAGCAAATCTAAAACTTTATTGTTGCCGGACAATTTTGTGTTTTGCGTGTGTATCAAACAGAGCGTTTTTCTGGTGACGTTTTTGCAGTCAGTGGACAATCTGATAGAATCTGATGATTGTGCTCCATACTATTTTGAGAGCAAGAGCTGTGAGTTTTCCCTTTTTTTAATGGAACGTAATATAGAGTGTATATTATCATTGCTTGGTTTATGCTATAGCTAGTTCTAAAACGATAAATAACTCATATGAAAGTGCAGCATTTTTGTTGCGTCCATGTATGCTAAGTAGTACTTTAGCAAAAGCACTTGCTGAAGCATGTCAGAATAGCACCAATACTCTTCTCCCTTCTGCCCTTGCTCTTCACCCTCGTCAATTGAAACTCATCCATCATGCAGCTCTTTCACTTAGCTTGCCTCGTATCCTGTTACATTTACCACTCTCGAATCTTATCGCACTGCACATGACAATGTCCATCAATGTCATGTGCCGTGCACACTGACGTGTCAGTGCTGATTAAAACGTGTAATTTGCAAACTTACAGATTTCGGTAGATGTATTCCACGAATTGTTGAGGATGCTCTCGTCTTGACAATAGGGTCAACGCCGGTAATCGACAAGTCTGGAGGTAATGTGTCAACGGAAGCAATTGTAGATGGAATCGGGTAAGTTTGCCACCATAATATATCTTCTAAAAAGAAAGATTAATTGAACCATCGAAATCTGAGAATTAATAACCCTCATTAGCTTGTATTACATCTATTATGAAATCATTATCCACAATTTAATAGTATATTACTATTATTAGGGCTATTAATGTTATATAGCTTTACCTTGTATAATTCCTATAGGTGGGTGTCACAGGCATTAAACCTGGAAAGTATTGGACAAAAGGTGTTCCAGGATTTCATTGATTCCTGGTGGCAGATTATAGTGTAAGTTGTTTATTTATGTACATACAATTGTATTACCAGGAGTAAATAATCTGGTAACCTAGTACTTCTGGTTTTACTTTACAGTTCCTCCAACACCACCTCTCTTTAAATATAATACCACTACCTCCATCACATGTCATATATTCACAATTCTCATATCATATACCAGTCGGTAGGCGTGCCACCAGTTTACAGGGGACAGTCGCTCCGCGTGGTGCCTGCCAACACCGAATTGTACTTCACGCGCCAGAAGTAGGGGCCTAGTGCAATTGCCTTCTTGAACTGTAAACAACTTCAATTTGGAAAAACGTGATTGGCTAATTTAAGTTTGGCTACTTTGGGCCGTACTTTTGGTGGAATACGGACAGTTGCTGTGCAAAGTGCGTGTCGGTGATC